AACTACTGCGAGGCAAAAGAGGAGTCCGCAGCACATTAGCCTGTGTCACCATGCTATTATTATTATTTTAAACTAATAAGAGAATAGTCGCACCAGCCGTGGGCATGTGGGACCCAACTAACAGTGTAACTACACTTGACATTTCCTGCAGGAAGATAGACCTGGGAGTATTTGGACCAATTAAGTAGCTGCTGTAGCTTGCAGGTTGTGTACCTATTAACTTTGCCTCTGTGGTTTTGTCCACTGCAGACAGTTAAATAAAAAAAAAACATCATTTTCCTGTTCTTAACTTCTTTGTTTTGTGCAGAAAAATAAAGGAGGGAAGTAAAGCCATACAGTGTATAGAAAAAGCCAATGCTCTCATGAAAGTGTTTAGGATGCACTTCTCTTGAATGTAATCACACATTACAGGATATGTACTGATGCTGTAGATCTGGTTTTAGCTGTTACCACATCTGACCCGTGATAATTAAATTACAGGTCATCCCTCTGTAAAACTAATGCAGTTCAGACTTCCTCTTTGGTCTCCCCCAGCAGGAAGTCTGCCTCCTTTCAGTTTTCTACTCATTGCGGAAATGCCGGGTCTCTGTTTCCGCAGGCTAATAGCTTGTGTTTGTTCATTTGTCTAAAGATAACTAGCATATGTTAACTTAGCAGCCAGCCACAGGCAGCGGTGATCACGGCCAAAGGAGATGTTCTGTTTTGAGAGCTTGTGTTGTTCGTGGAAGCAGGATATTGTGTGATCGTACAGCTTCTTGTGTGTGAGGTGTTGTTTGTAAGGCGATGTGCTATTTGGAGACCAAAACATATGGCCCAGCCTTTCTCGTTGTTTACAACCACCACATGCTATTTCAAATTCTGGATAACTACTGGAGTTTGATGATCACAAGTAAAGCTTGTTGCCCCTCTTCAAGTGGAATGAATTTGGATGTGGTTTTGAATAATAGATGATCCCCTGCGGTGTGGTGGAATTATCTTTGCCTTACAACCTCCTCTTCAAGTGAACTGTGGAAATGTGAAGATTCATTTTTTGTTTGAAAAGTGGAAAAGAAAATCTGTGAATAAAAAAAAAAATTAAAAAAAAGGAGTTATGAAACACCCATCCACTGAATGACGTCAACACCTGTCTGATATTATTATTCATCATCTGCATTGACATTTTACTTTTTGGGGTTTCCGCTGAGGCTCTCATCCAGAGCCATTTAGAGATGAGCGTAACCATAAGCTCTGATTTTAAATGATTGATAAAAACCAACATGTAGTAATGTAAAAAAGGGTCAGAGCCCGCGCTGGCTAATCATAGTCAAATAAATAAATAACACATTTTAGAACAAGGAGGCCTATTGTTTCCGCTGATATGCTGGTTTGTAAACGAGACAAGAAATAGGATTTTATCATTTATTTATGTTATTTTTATCAACATTAATTCCTTTACTACATAAAATGATAGGTGGTGTAACAGTATTTGTATTTGCCTCTGTACCATCATGGTTCGGTGCCTGTAGTCATCTGATGAATAGCCTCTGATTGGGGAAAAAAAGGCAATCACACATGGCAGTATCCACCCTCCAATCCAGGTGGGAAGTGCTCGTAACTGCTGCTATTAAACATACAAAGAAGAAGAAGCAGACACAAAAAACACACATGAAGAAGAATATATGGTAGCAAGATGGAACGGCAGAGCTATAAGACCCGCCTGCCTCTTAAAATCCTCTGTGTGGGGAAACGTCAGATACACAGTGCTGTATGTCACTGGAAACACATTGAACATGCTAATCAATATTAGATGGCATCATCCAGATGTGCTAATCCCAGAAGCTAGGAAAAAGAAACAACAACTAACCCTGCTGTTTTGAAAAGGCATCTGGATGTGACAGCAGAGAGGGCCAAATACATTTCTGTAGCTACTCCATTTTTAATGCTATGGCACGCATATGCAGTAGTAGAGGACTTCAGCTCTAAGTGTGTATTAAAAGCATTCAAGCATCGTTGCCATGTCCCGTCCCGTGTTAAAATAAGCCAGGCTCTAATGTCATTCATTTCTCTATTTCTTTTTTTATTTTGCATCGTTTTGTTTAGTTTTCCTCATCATGTTTAATACAGGCTTCACCAACTATCACAGGTAGTTCTAAAGAACAATAGATGGAAAAAAAACTCTAACTTGCACTACCTACAATAATGCATCTGAGAGGTTTTTTTTCTTTCTACTGTTGAACCAAACGTGCATCAAACTGTGACCCCAAACCTGAGATATGAACCAAACCGCAACCTCTGTCAATGGTTACACCCCTAAAATATGCTTAAAAAATAGGTTTATACAAGCAAAGCAAATCTTCAGGATACAAGTAACATGTCAAGCTAAACAATCTCTTTCAAATCACTTCTTTTGACAACCAAAGTTAAAGCTTCTGTGTTTATAGAAGCAAAGACTGTAAATTATAATGGACGAAGCCTGACTGACGTCACCCTTTGGTTTCTGAAGGGCCGTTTTGGAAGCCTATCTGTGGCGGTTTCCATAATGAAAATACTGACTGTATCAAACTTTTGGACAACCTAATGACGAACAAAGAGCGGGAGCTGAGACGGGTCTTAAGCTTCCTGACAAAACGCAACACCGTAGTTGCTTGCGGTCAGATCCGTCACGCCTCTTATTAAGCATAACCTGTATACTCAAATCAAAACGGGTGAAATCATTTCACCCCCTGTACAGTGTGTGCTCATAAAGACATTAACTAATAAGCCCAAAATTATTTTTGTACCAGGTTCTAAATGTGTTCTGTTCAGCTGCCAAATTGGACATTTTAATCTGGGGTGTGTATGAGACTGCCGGGTCTTTTTGGAGCCAGCATCAAGCGGATATGTTTTGCTTTTTCTTTTTTTGCCAGCAAACACCTTTCAACACAATCAGCCTCGCATACTAAGGCTAAATACCTCTACCAACCCAGCCAGACACTCTAAGTCTGTTTAAGGTTAAACTTTAAGAGCACCAGGTCATAATTACAAACCACTTTTAGTAGCTCTAAAAAGGACTATGTATTCAACAACAAAAATATAAATGTCAACAGCTTAACACTTGTGGGACTAAAAGGTGGCTGTTAGCCCTTGGCTGTTTGATCCTTGATCATGAAGAAGAACAGCTGTGTTGAACTGGAATTTAATTTTCTCACAGTAGATGCCAATGGTTTCCTGCAAAACATCTTGAAACCTCTCTAAACACAGATAACACTATTGGGCCACTTTTGCACTGTGATTTGTTATTAAAACATTTATATTTTAATAAATGAAGCTTGTATCTGCTGTATCTAAGCGGAGTACACACAACAAGATAATCGGCCAGATTTTGGGCCCGATTCCCCCCTACTGACCAAAGTCAGCAAAGGCCCGACTATCTGATGGATCCAAAGCTTATCTTGCCAGATTCTCCTGTGGTGTGAGTTGTGTTAAGAGGGTTTTTTACCCTCCCCGATCTGCTCGTAAGACGATCAGGGCCTCCCCGATTTGAAATCGTAAATATTAAACGTGTTCAATATTTACACACATATTTAGTGTGTGGTGTGCTGAGATGGTCGTCTCGTTGCACACCACACACTATAAGAGCTGAACTGTCAATCTATCTTGATTTGTCGTCATGTGTGGGGTCGCTCACATTTTCAAAATGGTTCAAGATTAAAAAAATCTTTTAGTGTGTTCCAGGCCTGAGGGATTTGAAAGGTGCGGCTGCAAAACAGCACCCTTAATGGCTCAGTCTTGCTGAGAGAAAGCATAATTAGGCAGGCTGTTTATAAGGGAGCTGAGATGGTTTGGAGAGATCATTAAAGCGTTGACATGGCAGAGTCCTGAGTGAGCAATCTGACTCAGCAGACTGTACTTCCCTGACAGACACTTGGGTTTTAAATCATAAGAGGTATTCTTAGCTTCCTTGCAAGAAAGAATTAGCGACAAAGGTCCTCTTAACTGTTTTCACTTCCTCAGGTCTCATGGCGCAAAAAAAAAAAGCACCCCCACATAACTCGTCTTTGTCTAATTTACTCAGCGAATCATATGACAAAAACTCTCTTTACAAGGTTTTTAGATTTTACTGGTTGCTTAAATAAAATGTTTTCCTACTTAAGTGCTCTAAGGGAGGTCAAATCAGAACTCTAGGTCCCCAAAGTCTGCATTTACGAGGATCCTGCGAACCAAAGTTGACCTCAGCCTGGGTGGAGTAAACATCTGTTTTTTTGTGTCCCAGTTGCACAGACGGCTGGTGGAGCTCTCAGTTTGAAATGAAGATGTCATCGCTCTGCTTGGACAGTTAAATGTTTCATTTTTAGGCACTTAGCCTCTCAGCTCTTGAGTCTTTTGTGGCAGTGTAAAACATGTGACTCACTGTTGGCACTGGTTATGGACCGCTCTGCCTCTGTTGCATCAGTGGGAGAAGTGAAAGCGTGTGCTATGTTTGTCTACATTCTGGCTGTCAGTGGACAGCGCTGTTGAATGCCAGATAGAATCCAAATTGGCTGTAGCAGGACTGACACTTGGATTTGTGTCTATTTGAAGAAATTGAGAAGTTTATCATTTAGTTCAACATTCTGTAAAAAAAAAAAAAAAAACTACATTTAAATGTATCTTCTTGCAGAGAATAAGATGATAAGATAGACACCACTTTCATATTAGTCCAGGTATTTAAAGTATAAGTCATAAACTGGTTAGCTTAGCTTAGTCGGGGGAAATAGTCTGGTCCTGTACAAAAGCTAACAAACCCACCTGTATCATCAGTAAAGCTCTTTTATCGACACATTTTTTCTTCTTTTTACAAAAAAAACATGTTACAGGTGTAATAAGCATGGGGCATTTTGGAGCATTTTTTCTTCATTTTCCTGTGATGTCAACTCAACACTAGTTCTCAGCTTCGGCTCGCTGTCGTCCTATCTTTGAATTTTACCGCTTTTTTCTGTGATAGACCTGTTTCCTCTTTTCTCGACAAACGCCTACTTCCTCCTTCTGTGCTCTCAGCACTCTCTTGGTCGTTTCAGTTTTTGCCCAAGGCGCAGCACTGCACAAACTGTTGTGAAGTCTTTGTCTATGGATTATGATGCTGAAGGCAGTTTGCCTGTAGACAGAGACTCAGACTAGCCGTTGTTGGAAAAGAGCTTCCTTTTTCATTCTAATTTAAGCTGGTTGACTCAGAGAAGAAGAAACTACAGAGCCTGTTGGTTCTTTTCTGGGTGAGTCCTCTCATCTTAACACTGTTTTTTCCTCTACACGCGACACAGGATGCAAAAGGCCTCAGGGTGTGGCTCATGTGCGCCCTCCTGCCTCCCCTCCAGTGTGTCACCAGTGGGTAAAACATTGTGGTTAGATGTTAGCAGTCTGGAGCAGTGAGTGTCTGGGTACATGCTTGTAGGCTGATTCAAGATGGGACTGTTTTTTTCCCCACATCTTAGCCAGTGAAGAATGGAAATGTCAAAGGACGGATGTGTTTGAAGACAATTGTGGCCTCATGGTTTGGGGGGTGAGATGGAATTGTGGTGGCGGTATTATTATTTATTTATATACTGTAGAAAGAGCATTATTATACAGCTGATAAATCTGCTGCATCCAAAATTCATTTCTTGGGGATATTACTTAATTCCTTCACAATATGGATTAGTTATGTGCCTGCATTTTGGTCTTATTGTTTTTTTCTAACCCTCTAAAAAGTGTCTTCTTTTTTGTGTCCTTAAATGTTCCCATGTTTTGAATATCTGGGTTTGCAAACTGCCATCCAAGCACCACTAATTGTTTCTGACTCACTTGTTTACATCAAATTGCATGCTTGCTCTGCTCGCAAAATGCTATTTATGCTAGGCTTGTACCTTGTTCAGCATTACTCTGTAGCTCCATGCTTCACTCATTCTCCATGTGAACATTGGGGGGGGGGGGTTGCTAAGCCTGACAGTTGTTACGAGCTGCAGGTACCAACGTTTGACAGGATATCCTGGTTGCAGCAGTTCAGTGACAACCAGGGGAACACAGTCTCTGCAATTGTCACACAGAGAGACGCCAGCTAGCAAAGTCAATGAAAAAAGTTTTATTCACCTAAAGACTATGTTCGAATTAAGTCCTTAGCTCTTTGTGGGGAACATTTCTCGTCTGAGAGTTTTCTTGGTTTTAATGCATGTCAAGTCTTAAAGAGCAGACGACACTTCCTCCTTTGGTTGAGTCGTCAAGTCATATTTCAAAACCCTGACCCCAGCCTTCCCCCGTTTCCTTTTGTCCTTCTCCTTTATTTGTAGCTGATCTGTCAGCCCTTTGTCTTAGAGCCAGCAGTGTTTCCTGTGGGCTTGGTGTTGTGTGTGTCTTTGTGTATATGTCTGCTAAGGATTGGGCATACCATAGTTGCATTTTTAAGATTCTTAGTGTGGTGTGGTGTTGTGCTCTTAGGACGATGGTGTGTTCCTGTTTTAATTTCCCCCCAACCAAAGGAATCTATTCCAAAGGTTACTGCTACAGTTTCCAGTGAGGAAGTGGAAATATTGTGGAGTAGAATTTAAGAATTTATCCAAACTAAACTTCCAGCACAATAAGTCAACTTTATCACCTCAACCTTGTTGGGATGGAAAGTCCTGCAACATGGATAACAGTTGTATAGACATTATAGATAATAGAGCTAATATATGGTTGGAATAAAGAAATGGATAAAGAGTTTAAGCTTTCACCTTTTGCAAGTGCAAGATGTTTCACTCCTAAATCGCCAACTAAGAATGATAGGTATGCGTCCCAAATCTTCAACATATGACACAGTGGCGGTTCTAGACCACTTTTACTGAGGGGGCCAAACTGGGGCCAGTTGTTTTGTCAGAGGGGAACATTAAACCCAGGTGAAAAAAAAGATAAAGATGATCGCTTTAAAAAATTTATATATATTATGGCAAATAATAGCACACATCATTAAATACCATGATTTATATTTGTTTCAGTAACAGTATTCAATACTAGAATGTGAGTCCGGTTGTTGAGTCAAATTCCTGTGTGTTATTAGGGGGGCTCTTCCTTTTGGAGGGGTGGCCACAGGGGGGACCAAGATCAGTGTTACAGGGGCACTGGCCCCTGTTGGCCCCTGCCTAGAACCGCCCATGGACACTTAAGTTACCCGGTAGCATCCATTAGTCACATGCAGGGCTCCAAGCTCCAAGGAGCAATAAGGAATGTGCTGTTTGTTCAAAACATTCTAATTAAAGCACTAGTGTTGGTGAGAATGAATTAGAAGGTCAGATTATTTGAAAAAAAAAAAAAAAAAAAAACTTGCTGAGAAAATGTCGACTTGTATGACTTTTGTCAATTAAAAAACAGTCATAACTTGCTTAATGTTGCAGTTTTGTTTTGTTGAAAGTTTTCTTTAGATAGAGGAATGGGATCCTTGTTTCAGTTTAAATGAGGCTTGAACTGAACACACAAACCTGTGTCCATGTTGTGTCAGGGCTCCATGACATCACTGCTAGGTGTGGCCAGAGTTCAATCAACCTTGAAACTTTGAACCAAAGAGGGCAATAAATCCCTACTTCAAAATTGGTGTTTAGTTACTTGTGTGTGTTTGTCTCTGTTAGTATTTTTGAAATGCACACACCTTTCCTTAAGGGGTGTAACATGACCATCCTGTGGCCTGTGTGTGTGTGTGTGTGGGTGTGTGGGTGTGTGTGTGACTTGTTGGTGTGAGAAGGCGTCATGCTCGAAGCAACAATAACTCAGTCCCTCTCTCACATCTTCCTCTGTGTCATTGGCTTTTGTCTGAGCTCTCAGATAAAGGATGGTGCTCTTTTTGTAGTCTATAAAAAACAACCCCACACACACACACACACACACACACACACACACACACACACAGGCAGAGGCCCCTGTGGCTAGGCGTGCTCTTTGTAAAGTCATCAGATGAGGAGCTAGAAGGGGTCCTTTTGAAATCCATCCAGCGCATAGGTTAACACACACACACACACACACACACACACACACACACACACACACACACACACACACAGATGTCTGCATATATGGTAGTTGAGTCAAACTTTACACTCTGTAGTCAATATGCACGTTATACTGTTAACTTGATGTCACACACTCACTCTAAGCACATGAGCGCTTTAGCTGCTGGATGTGGAAGTTTAAGAGGATTAATTTTTAGTCCAAGAGAAGTGTTTTGATTGACAGGTTGGCCTTGTGCTTCTGCATGCGTCTTGGCATGTGCATAAAAGAAGCCTTTTTTTGTTATTGTTAGCATGCTTTTCCCTCCAAATTGGATTACTTGCTGATGCTTATTATGACAATAATAGATTGAAATGTTCTCAAACCCGTACAATTTCAGTCTGACTACCCTAAAACACATTTATTCCCGTTTTCAGAGTGAGTCAGGGTTTCTTGATTAACTGCTGGACTATTTTGTGTGTGACACAAGCACAGAGATCAAGATAGCTGCATATGAGGTGTACTACAGGAGGTTGAGGTTTCCATTCATTTCATGCTTGTTGGTTTTTTAAACTGTTTTTTAAGCTGAGATACGTGACGTTGAATCAGTAGCTTAGTGAAGAAGAAGTTGGAGCTGGAAGATTACAGTGATCAGAGTTGAAAACAAAATGGAATAAAAAAAAAATGCGTGTTAGACTTTACACTTTCTGTATGTGTTGCCTTTTCAAAGGTTGACTTTCAGTTGAGGGGATGATAATAAGGGACAGGGCTGTTAGAAAAGGAGCTTCCTTTGCAGTGATTTTAGGACGGTAGAACATTACACACCGAGTGTTTTCTTGATTGAAAGCCAAATATGTTTTCTGACCGGAGCAGCTGCAAAACATTTTTTAGCTGAAAACCAAGAACTGAACTAGCCACCAAAGACAACACAAAATTGACAAGGGAACATACATTTCTAACATGTGTTTGACATTATGATGTAATTTGTGCACAAACACTTGAGAGCAAAACAAGAAGCAAATGAAGTTTATGAAATCCAGCTGTTGTGGAAAACTGATGATACAGGAGAAGAGAGGCTTTGGTAGGATGACTTTGTTGTTTGTCACATATGTGTGTGTCAGGTGTCAAAATGACTCGGGGAGATGCCACAGGTGGTCTGAAGTGCGCTGTTGAGTTTGCGTCAGGCCTGGAGTGACTGCTCCAAATTAAGTGTCAAAAGCCTATCACAATAATAACCACATTTTTAAATCTGGACTTAGTGAGGATAAAGTGTTTCTTGTCTTTTCTGTATTTCAAAGTCAGAGGTGTCCTCTCACACACATCAGGCTGCTTATAAAGTTCCAGGAGGGATCTGCAGGAAAGTATTTGTTTTACTGGGATCATAGTTCCCTTCTTATTCAAGCCTCCAAGCCTCAATCTGTTTGTCTCCTCTCTCTGTCTTCACCAATGAGTCCTGAAAAAGTTTGAATTAAAACTTACTTCAAAGTGTAAAAAACAATCTCTTTAATACAGCAAACAAGCTCATTTTTTCACCACATTATGCAGGGATGTTTTAATTAAAATTTTTGACAGCCGTGACATGCAATTAAGTTGTTGAATGATTTTTTTTTTTAGTAGAGTTTGTGGGAGAAATAAAGCTAAATGCCATGAATTGCATAATAAAACTTGTGAGCGAAGTTGTTTATTTAACTTTGGTTTAACACTGAATAATGTGCTTCACAGCTTTCTGTGGCTAATTCTCAGACAAGTTGTTCTTGGTTTCTCTTCCAGTTTTTAGGAGGGATAGGAATCTGGAATCTAGTACCAGTTTCTCATTGCCCGGTCCATTGGTATTGTATGCCTCTGAGCTTTTTTATTAAATTTATAAAGAGCAAGTGTTTCTGACAGTTGCACATTGCGAAACGACAACGTCAAAGTAGTGCATCTAAGCTGCTTGAATTTTGCAATAAGGAGTCTGTATGGAGAGGAAAAAGGAGTTTGTGGTGTCACTTCACTAAGAAAGCTGATAACTGTTTTGTCTCGAAACTGATTATATATCAGTAAATTGATAATTTGTCAAACCCCTTGTTATGTTTACATAAATGCCATGGAGGCAGGCTAAGAAAATCTAAATGTTACCAACTGCTGTACAAATCTTTATCAAAACCGTTGTTGACTGTAACATTTGTTGGCCTTTCATGAGGGAATCGGTAAAGGAAAATACAGCAAGGGTATTGAAAAATGAAAAACCATAAATGATAGAAGTGCTGGTATCATTGAAATCTTGTGTTTTTTTTCATGGTAT